TTAGTAATTGTAAGAATATACGTCTATTCTTTTGAACTATATTTCTAATAATATTATTTCATTATGCTTTCTCAATTCCCTTAGTTATCAGTAAGAAATATCTACTGTTACAAAATAAATCCATTCAATGAAATCGAAGATTTATCATAATGATATTGATTACCACCTAAAACACGTAGCTCAGTTATTAAAAAAATATGCTTCTAATAGCATTTCTGTATGTAAAATTGATCAATAATTGTTGTTAGAATAGTCACTTGTATTAAATTGACTAGGTATTGTTTGGTTGAATCTTCTCATTAATGTTTAGGACTGCAGCCGATATAGTCGATATAGTCATAATTCATAAGCACTTGTATTGACTTAAACAATCATGTAATATACTTCAAAGTCTTCTGAAAGACTGTACTTGTAAACATATAAGCTCGTACATAATATTATGTATAATATAAAAATTAAGTTAACTGGAAGCATCTATTTTTGTAAATAATATAGTACGTTTAAGAGCCAAGAATTCTACTTAGTTTCTCTTCTCGCTATTTCTTAACTAACTTCGTTTATTGCATGTATGTTTACATTTTTTATTTTTGTATTTTGTTGTTTCACACGGATGCATACATATTATAGTTACCTGGGGCTACTTTGTACATACATCAATATAAATGTACACATAAACTGAAAGGGGGAGAGAAAAGTAATGAGTTAGTGTCTATCTTTTATTACTATTATTATTATTAAAGGACTTTCATTTGTTGTCCCCTGATTTAAGACTTTTTGATCCCGGTTTACACGTTTGTAGTTATTTTGTCATCATTGCTTTTGTTGATGGATGAAGTTTGACTTAATTAGTGTTTATATGTATATAATCAGTTTATTTGTCATGTATTAAATTTAGCCATTGGGTATATTTTTAAAAAATAATTCTCTCTAGAGATCATAATCAAACTTAAACTATGTTTACGTATATATAGTATATGGAAACAATGAATAACTGAAATGGAGGAATTTGTAATACATATGTTCATGTGTATCATTATTATATACTTAAATTGAACATTTAAAATAACGCGGTACATTTTTAGTGAATATCAATTGAACTGTATACCATAACATTTCGTCACCTACACCAAAGGTCATCAACACTGAAATTTGACCTAAAACTATGTGATTTCAATGACACGTGGCTAATAAGAAAGTTGTGAGCTAGTAGCCATACCCAACATTTGTTAGTTTAATCTCTTATTTCCCAAATATTTATTTACATTGAAAACAAAATTGGCGGTGACTTTTAAGTATTTCTTCTTTTTTTGTTATTATATATACTATATAAATCAATGACATAAAGGTATCTGATGACTGGTATTGCGTAAGGAAGCAACTTATTGTTCTTTATTGAAGATTGTAGCTAAATTGATGAAATCAAGAAATATGATTATATTAATTACATTGGATAATGAATGTCCGTTTGTTTATTAAAAGTAACAGTTCATTTTAAGCTATTGGAAAATGACGGTATTGTCTATTATATAATAGACTGAGAGTTGTGAATTACCTATTGCTTGATAGAATGATATTGTCAAATAGCTTGACTAAAACATGCACTGACTAATGCACGTATTATTGTAATTCATAGCAAATTATTTATGTGCAGACAATATGTCATACGCTCATTAAATCAACTATCAGTTTGAGTACTATCGTCTTTTCTCAGTACAAATTAGCGAAGTATTTGAGAAGAGTTAAAGAATAAAGGAAAGAATAAACTAATTAGAACAGCAATAACAATAACAAGATGTGCAACAAGAAGTATATTACTAGAGGATACTATCAGCAACAGCGTTTTACGGGAGAGGACAAACCAGCTTCCAGCTGAATAGGAAATTAGGAGAAGACGTTGGAAGTGGATAGGATATACATTAAGGAAATCACCAATGTGCATTACAAGGCAAGCCCTAACTTGGAATCCGGAAAGGAAGAGGAAAAAAGGAAGGCCAAAGAACAAATTACGACGGGGAATAGAAGCAGATATGAAAAGGATGAATGGTAACTGGAAAGAACTGGAAAGGACCTCCCGGGACAGAGTTGGTTGGAGAATGCTGGTGAGCGGCCTATGCTTCTCCGCGAGGGATAACAGGCGTAAGTAAGTAAAGTAAAGTATATTACTAGAAATTATGAAAACGCCTATTCTTATAGAAGTCAATATGTGAAAGTATTATACTACTTATAAGTATGTTTCATAATATTTCTTTGTGGTCTCATTCTAAAAAAGCACTATATATTTATGAAATAAAAGCTGTGAATTCTATGAAAGTTTGGCATATCGGTTTAAACACAATTGATTGATCACTGGTCGGTGATCAATATCATGTGTGTCAAGTCCATCTTAGTGCTGATCGAATGCTATCGATCAAGTTGCAATGTGGCCACTAGTCTAGGTGGCTCGACACTGCGTGCACTATGTTGAGATAAGATAGTGGTTAGAGGTGGTCAACAGGAAACCTAGGTCCAGGGTTTCCTGTTGACCACCTCGAACCATCATCTTATATCGATTTAAGGTTTATTTCTGCTATAGAATAGTTTGATGTTATTAACTACCAATAATCATGAAGTCATTATTCTAATTCTCTATTTATTCATTTGCAATTATTATAAATATTTATTAAAAGTTCATTTCATTCATTAATTTTCAGACATTACTCTATATGATACAGAAATTTTTTTCATAATGTTCATTATAAGTTAGATTAGATCTCAAGATCGATATATCATTTAATATTTCAATACAATTCGTTACTTTCAAGGAAATTCAAAGTTTCCATGATATTCTTATTTGAAACTTGTTAATTAATTCCAACTATGTGTCCGAGCTTATGATAATGTTTTGACTAGAATTCTAATTTATACATTCAAATGTGAAAGCATCATAAACTAGGTGAATTTTGTTTAACTTACTAGGATAATGGTTAAGAATAAAGAGTTAAAAGTGTTGGCTTCGATGAGTCAAATATTAGAAACTTGAAATGTTAACAGATACATCTTGTGGAATTAATTTTGTTGTTTCTTGAGTTTACATCTTCAATTGACCACTTTTGATTAATTTAAAATAGTAAACTTCAAATTGATTTCAAATATGTAATTCTTGTAATAAAATTATATAAACCCTACGGATTTTGATTACAAATATTAGGCATTCGTGCGTGAGACCGAAGGTTCTGTATTCGAATCTCATATGTGGGATTGTGGATGCATACTGCTCTGGAGTCCCATACTAGGATGAAACGGACGTTCAGTGCTTCTAGGTTTTCAATGGTGGCTCAATATCGATTGATTCATGATCTCAATCAAATACAAATGTTTATTATGATCTGTTTAACAGTGATACTTAGTTGTATCGCTATGATTTACTTACTATTTATAATAAAATATTTATGTTATTTTGACTTTTCTCATAACGATAAACAAAGAAATTTCGAAATCATTTGTCAAATGTGAAAAAAGTTACTGTTTACTAAAAGTGTTTGATTTGATCACCGTTTTTAGGAATGGAAAACAAATATAAACAGCACTACTTTGTATATATTAGTATTATTTAATAACCTGGTTCTCTGGATTTTAATCAACCATGAAATTTAGATAAGTTTAGTCTTTAATACATTTTATCGTTGAATTCATGAGTCAATTAAAACTAGACCACCATGGAAAACCTGGAAGCACTGGACTGCCTTTTCGTCCCATTGTGGGACTCCTCAACAGCGCACACTCACGACTCCGCACGCGAGGTTCAAAACCGGTACCTTCGGTCTCGCGTACGTCAATGCTTAACCTCTAGAGCACTGAGCAGGCATCCGATGAGGTTCAAGTGTAATTTCAACAATTCGATTTTAGTTCTAAACGTTCAGCTAACTCCCTTAAAGAATTTTTTAACTCAGAATCATAAACACTTATTTTAGAAAAAAAAAATCATCAACTAAGGACTAAAAATAATTATTTATTTAAATCAGCCGAGGTTTTCGCAAACTGGATTTTATTTAGAACATTTAAATTTAGTATCTAATCAAAAAACGAACTGATGATTCTGGTAGTTTATTTTTAATATTCAAAATACAATATCCAGTTTTTCTACATTTTCATTAATTATTCGATTGAAGTAAAGCTATGCTGAAAAGTATCTTTGAGTATTGATTAAAGGTCATAGATTAAAATCAAAGTATCATAAGTCGAAGATTGTACCGTTAGATTCAAATCAACTCTTTAAACATGAAACATGAAAGTAGATTATGTAATTAATGAAGATATTTACAAGCTAACTAAATGAATTATGTAAATGATACTACATTTAAATGGTTTGTCTAAATTGCAGTAACCTAGGCTACTTCTTGTCTATTTATCATCCTACATTGAATTAAGCAAATATAGGTAGTGGCTATCAGTGAAGTCCAGTTTGACGCGCGTTTCGTCTTGTTTTGGATTCGCTAGCTGGATGTACCTGCATCTCAGAGTTGATGTTCACTCTAGAACTCGAATTCAGTACCGTTCGCTTCAAACGCCATCGCGTTATCCACTCAGCTACTGAATCCTGATAGCCACTTGCTTGTGGAATGGGGTGAAGTTCAAATTCACTTAGTATTACTTGTTTGAATCGAAAGGTATTGGGTTCAAGTCCCAGAGCAAACATCAACCCTGAGATGCAGGTACATCCAGCTGACAAGTCCTAAATAGGACGAAACGCGCTTCAAACTGGATTCCACTGCTAGCCACTATCCATCTTTGCTTACTATGCTTGTGAATTTAGGCTATATCGAGGCAATACGCACAGAATGCATATATGCCAATAAGAGACTGACCAATTGTAGTCCTAAACATCAATGGGAAGATTCAAACAAGTAATACTAAGTGAATCTAAACTACATTGAATTAGTTTGCAAATAATCATATTATAAACAACTCAGTAACTGAATGAAATAAATAAATAAAAAGTTTTTAATCATTAAATAACTTACAGTTCATAATCTTTACGACAATAAATTTGTCCATATCTATTAAAACAACTAGTTTCTTTATCTAAACATTTACCACATGTATTACAATTTAAACAATTCATATGCCATAATTGTCCATCAGATAATCCAAGATAAATTTTTTCATAAATTGGTTGATTACATCCAGTACAATCTTTAATTAATTTTTGATAAGTTTTTGTTTTTTTTATGATTGATTTATTAGATTCATTGGATTGTGTTTTATTTAAAGAATTTGTTACTATGGTAGAAGTCAATGGAATATTTGTGTCAGTTGTTGACATTGAATGTATATGATTATCTGTTAGCTGATGTGTAGATAATAATGGTAATTTATATTTATTAGGATACAATTGAAAGTTAACATTATGTATATCATTTTCTTGAATTATTTCCATATTTGATAATTTTTGAACTGTTATTGATGATAATGGGAGTGATGATGAAAGATTAGGAGAGTTGGTAGGTAAAGAAGTTCCTGTTGATGGGAAATTTTTCAATGAAAATGGAAATTGTTCAAATAATGAAGTTGAATATATATCAGATATGAAATTATTCATTAAATTATTTTGATTATCATCTGTAAATTGTTTATTAGATGAATATGGTTGAGAAGAAATTGTAGAGTCTAAGACTGTATATTCTGTTGACATTTTATTAATGATTTAATTATTCACTAGATAAAATAAGAATAAATAAGAAAAAGGAATGAAATAAAGTATGAAATAGATTTGTCTTATTGATTCTTTTAAAAACTTACTAAATTAGATTGATATCATGAATAGATCAGTGTTAGACCACCATTGAAAACCTGGAAACACTGGACGGCCACTTAGTCCTAGTATTTATTTATTTAAACACATAAATATTGGTACAAAGGGGCACTAGATATATATGCGCCACACAAATCTCTTGTGATTTGTGTGAGGGCTGTGATACTGCCTAGGTGCCAAAACTGAAGCAGTCGGTTTTCTTAGTTGATTACACCCGGAGCCTTTGATCTAAAGGTCTGATCCATAAGGCATTGAAGCATCGTGAGGAGATGCAGTCCCATGGTAGCCAGTGACCAACAGTTGATTCATACGCCATTTGTTCCTTTAGGATACTGGAGCCCATGTGCACCATTGGTTTGGAATCAGGGTTTTCCAACTCCCCTAGATGGACGCTCCGTGTCCACCAACCCGATTAAAGCGCCGAACATTTGCTTTTCGTCCTCTCAATTTCGTAAACAACAGTAATGGCACGAGAAGGCAGTGAGTTGGACTTCCCTGGCGGAGGCTATATACGCGTGACCACGTAAGAGCATTTTGAGAGTGAGAGCGGGCTCTCCCCACTCTTGGCCGTACCAGGGCATTTGGGGGCGTCCTAGTACGGGACTCCTCAGCAGTGCTCATCCACAATCTTGTATGCGAGATTCTGAATCAGAACCTTCGGTCTTGCGTGCGTCAACACTTAACCCCTAGACCACTGAGCCGGCATCCAACGATATTAATATCTAACTCCAACTAATCCACTATATTACTCGACTGTCCTCCATTGTATTTAGTCAGTAATTGCTTCACACCAGACATGGCTGAACTTCACTACTCACAACTTCTTACTAGAACTTCAAGAAATCCATCTTGAAGTTAATCACTAGTAAGCATATGATAATTATCAGTATAAGGTTATGAGGATTGTAGAGTAGTAGTCTAATATTGATCCTTATACTCAAATATTAAATTAGATTTTAATGAACTAAATAGTTTATAAATCAATTAGCTTATTATTGTTTCTAATAGAATGTTACAATAATAATAATAATAATCTAAGTATAATTTGTTTACCAAAGTGATACCCAAATAGTTAATTGTGAAAACTAAAACTCATTAAAGGATTTTTTTTGTGTTTTTACAGACTGAAATATTTTAACATTCAAAAAAGAAAAAAAAAATTTTTTAAATTTAGACTAAACTAGTTTTTTTTTGTTTATTTATTGTTATTTCTTTAATTTGAATAACTTGAACTTCTTCTGTATTAAAACAAAGATATATATATCTGAATTGAACAATGTAGAAATTTAGAGAATTCGTTTTTGTGTCTAGTTTTTTTTCTTGATTAGATGATGGGAGGAAAGCCAGTTTAACTTTGTTATTTGGTGTAGATTAATCTTTATTTTTATAGTTATAAATAACAACAGTTAGATTTTTCTTTCACATATGACGTGTCATAATTGGATATGGATTTTACAGTTGATGGAGTTTTATTTTTTGTGATGGATGGTTTGGTCGTGGAACTTTCATCGTCTTTCTGAACGACATCATCCGTACAAACTTCAGGTAGAAGTGAAGTGTGGAGAAATTCGAACACTTCACTTCTACCTGAAGTTTGTACGGATGATGTCGTTCAGAAAGACGATGAAAGTTCCACGACCAAACCATTTAGTTCAGAGAACAAAACTCCATCAGAATCATTCACCTGAGCTACAAATCTTCTCCATAATTTTACAGTTGATAATTGATTACAGTTACTAATTTTATATCAAAAATCTGACGGATTTACTGATATTATACAGAATATGAGAAAAGTGAATTTATTACAATGTATTAAACTGTCGAAGCTTTTGGTAACAGAGAATTAAAATGTAATTCATTTATCTATATTGGTTCTATCTGACTGCTTAAATCAAATTAGATGAGGTAAAGTTCAAACCTGTAAACTGACAGTTGAAGGTCGAGCGTTTTAACCACTTAACTATCAAGAATGAGGTTATCTGCTCCGCTTTCAATTTTCAGTAAATGTATTGTATTCAGTACTCTTAATGATTTTGTTGTTGTTGTTGATTTAATGGCTAAATGCTGCATATTACAGTGCAATATTCATTAGGAATTTTATTTCTAACATTAATTTACACCGTCTTTATGTTTTCCATTCACCACATTGGGTTGTATCTCTATGACAAATTCATAGTATACAGTTGTAAGTAACTCTGAATACTTCAGTACGCACACTCACTCATTAAATGAGTAGAAAAATGAATAAAAGTACCAGATACAACATAATTACTGAACATTGAAAGTGTTTCAGATAACCTTAGCCAACTACCTCTCTACAAACAATTTAAATAACTGTTCGATATTTATATAATAATACATTTACGTAACCTAGCGTTTTACTGTTTATATCCTTATAAAACACAGTTTAGTTGAAAAAGTTTACCAAGGAAAAGATGAATGCACACTGCTGAGGGGTTTCACAATAGGATGAAACGGCCGTCCAGTGCTTCCAGGTTTTCCATGGTGGTCTAGCTTAAATTGACTCATGATCTCTACTAAATGAAAAGATTTTAATTAACCTTACCAATTCTTTGAATAATTCTATTCATAATAGTATCCAGTTTCATTTGTCACTAAGTCTATTTTTCACAATTCTACTAGTATAATACACCATAGGTAATTGAAAAATGATAAACTTGTTTGAATAGTACTTATGTAATTTGATTGATATTTCGTGAAATTCTCACCTATATATTTCGAAATTTCACTTGAAATGACCAGAATAAGTTTTACAGTAGAATAGACATTCACTTTTACTTTAAACATTGAACAGACTATTATATCAATATACTTCATCATTCATCAATTGATGTAGATAAACTTTTGTCCTATTTATAAGTGTAATAAACTGTTAAGACTAACATATTAACTATAAACTGGATTGTTATTTTCTACAATCTTTCTCAATAATACATCCATTAAGTTCAATCTATAATTTAAGTACCATTGAGAAATTAAGCTAAACTTTACAATATTTATCATAGATGCGCACTACTGAGGAATCTCACAATGGAACGAAACAGCCATCCAGTACTTCAAGGTTTTCCATGATGGTCTAACTTCAATTGATTCATGATCTTATCTGTCAAAAAATATATCTATATTTGTCAGGATTTAATTCAACTAAGAGTTTACTAAATTTAATTAGGGAGCTAAATAAAAAAGAAAGTTATCTAAATTCATTATAATTAATCTGTTTATAGTATATCATAGTTAAAATGTATTCCAAACCAATGGTGTACATGGGCTCCAGTATCTTGAAGGAATAAATGGCATATGAATCAATCATTAGTCACCGGCTACCATGGGATTACATCTCCTCACAATGCTCCACTGTCTTGTGGATCAGACCTTTAGATCAAAGGCTCTGGGTGTGGTCCCCTAAGTAAACCACCTGCTTCAATTTTGGCACCTGGGCAGTATCACAGTCGCCCTCACACAAATCTCATTCGATTTGTGTGGCACATATATATCTGGTGCCTCTTTGTACCAATATTTATATTTTTCAAAGTTGAAATCATGAGTCAATTGAAGCTAGACCACCATGGAAAACCTGGAAGCACTGGACGGCCGTTTCGTGGATGTGCACTACTGAGGAGTCCCATAATAGGGCGAAACAGCCGTTCAGTGCTTCCAGGTTTTCCATGGTGGTCTAGCTTCAATTGACTCATGATTTCAACTTTGAAATATACTGAAATCTCCACAAATCCCCTTATCAATATTTATATGTTTAAATAAATAAATTAATTAATTACCAATAAACTTACCAACAATCATAATATAGTTTTTCATTATGTAAATTCCAATTCATAAAGTAAACAAATTATTTGTTACTTTTAATTTTCATAATGAAAGGAGTGAAGTTTTTTTTTTATATTTTTATAATTATTTTTTGGTTCTAGTTATTCATTTTATAACCAATCATAAACTAGACAAGAGAAATTAGTAATTCTATTCTCATAGATACATTAAATAAGAAAGTAGACAGAATAGTTTACGGGAAATGTAGAAGAGAATTTTTGTTTTTGTTTTGTTTTTTTTGGTTTCCTTTTTTATTCTCTTTTTCAGAAGTGAATAGTAAAGTAACCCTAAGACGAATTGGTTAAATAGTAAATTTATTTCAGTATGAATATTGAAAAATTAACCAATCGGAAATAAGATACATAGAAATATAGGATGATAGAGCGAATATCTAGTGAATATAAGTTTTTTGATTGGATCTTTCTAGAAGAGATATAATATTACTATTATTATTATTATCTTATACAAGTCTAATTATTATGACCTTTGTGTTTGTCGCTTTTTCTTCATATCTGTCAATAGGACTATTATCTGACTGACCCATAAATTATTTTTTTCCTTACCCCTTGATTAGTATGTAACCTCATTTATTATTTATTGTTGAACCAATTTATAATGCAATCTTTCCTAGCTTCTTGTAGATATAAATTTTCCATATAACTATATATATAGGAATGTACAGCTTAGGTAAATGATTTCGTTGAAAAGAAAATGTTCTTCGCTGAATTCTCTTTTCAGAGGGAGTTTTGTGGAGACTGGTAGGTCGTGGGTTCGAATCTCGCGAGTGCGGGATCGTGGATTCGCACTGCTGAGGAGTCCCATAATAGGGCGAAACAGCCGTCCAGTGCTTCCAGGTTTTCGATGGTGGTCTAGCTTCAATTGACTCATGATTTCAACTATGAAAGTTCTTTTTTTCTTATTCTCAATGATATTATGAGTTATTTTAATTATGTAATATTTTGTCTAGATATTCCTTATAGGCAAAATTATATCACATATAACTAGATATATGTAAAATGGATCACATAATTATAGTTAAGGTTCTAGTTAATTTTAGTGCTTCACTATACTTATGATTCCATTTAAAAGTTTATCCTGATAAACATCAGTAAAATTATCAGAATGGGAGTTTGTGGAGATTTTTAGTAATTTTATATGGTTGAGATCATGAGTCAATTGAAGCTAGATCATCATGGAAAACATGGAAGAACTGGACGACCGTTTCGTTCTATTGTGGGACTCCTCAGTAGTGCGCATCCACGATCCCGCCTCGCGAGATTCGAACCAGACTAGCAATAAAGTTTGCAAATATAGAAAAGATTACTACTAATCAATCATTAAGATTATATATATATATATATATATATATATATATATATATATATATATAATTTTATTCTGGGTAATTGATAGATGAGGAAAAATTCATTCATGATTATTTATCATTGCTTATAATGCTTGTGACTTCAGACAATATCGAGGCACTCCGCACAAAATGCACATATGCCAACAAGAGACTGATCAATTGCAGTTCTAAATAACAACAGGAAGATACAAGTAAATAACACCAAGTGAACACTGTACAGTTCAGTTTAAGTTTGAATGTAGATTACTTTAGTATTTAAAATCTAAAACCTTTAAGATATTAAATTGGAATAATATATTTGTAAAATCTCGACGCATGCATTTGAAGTAAATCCAAAGTTTCGCCTGGTAATCTGGTCCAAGCTTTTTCAAGGAACTTTTAAGTTCTTTTTATTTAAAAAATGTCGTTTGATGTGTACTTATTTTCAGTAAATAGTATTGTATTGTTTTGGTAACAACAAAGTTTATTCTATCTAAGAGCTATGAATTCATTGTGAATTAAGTGAGAGTTTTACGCATATAATTATAAAAGTTTTATTCTCAAGTATATGTGAATTACTCATAAATGACGTATTATAAAGTTATCATTTTGACAGTCAAATATTGATATTCTTAGTTTCTTTTTTGATTAAATTTTGATGTAGCTTTTACTCCATATCTTCTGAGTATCCCTAGAGACCGTCCTTTATCACTTTATTTTAAGATTGAGTTTACTAGGTTATCATAATTCCCACTATCAATATATAGTTGTTGACTTAAATTGAGATAATGAATTATAATTTTGAAGACCAATGTAGCACTCTGTAATAATTAGGACGTGTATCAAACTATCGGAGAAATTATGTCATATAATATGAGGAATATAACTAATGTCACTTATAACTCGAGTTGAATAAAGTAATTTGAGGCCTTGGGCTCCTGTGGTAGCCTATGTAAAATTTTGCTCAGGTACATTCGTTTTCAATGATATTTTTCAATTTATACGATGAAAGTATTATAACCATTTTATGCTTGAGTGTTAATGCCTCTATAATAACTATGTAATGTAAGTTCTTTTTAATCTCTAGGGTATTTTTCAAATAAACCTTATATTTATTCTGTTCAGTAACCAAATCATCACTGATCCTTATTATAACGCTCATCATATTCAACAGTTAATTTCTTTTTTCATATGTAAACAACAAAATGATAATCAGCTAACAGGTTACAGGACTAATATACTAAATTTTCCCCAAGTTATTTTAGTAAATTTGATTATTTCACCATTTTCTTATTATCAATGGGTACTTGGTAAACCTTTTAACTAAGTTGTATCATGTGAAAAATATAAAAAAATACGTTCATATTGTTTATGTCATCGTGATATCATTGTAGTGAATAAGAACACGAGTTGGAACAATTGAATGTATTTGAGCAGAAAATTACAGAGTATCTCACTAAAATCTGACAACCATACAGTAAACAGGTAATTTGTAAAATAACAATCAATTGTCTCAATCTTAACCATTCCTTCTGCATAAAGTGGGTTGTCATTTTCTACATTCGTTCTCAATAATACATTCATCAAGTTCAATCTATAACGTAAGTACCATTGAAAAATTAAGCTAAACTTTACAATATCTATCATGGATACGCACAACTGAATAGTCCCACAATAGAACGAGTAGTCTTCGATTATAATTGTTCATGCATTTTTTTACCAATTGCGTGCCGTTCCCGTTCTCTACTTATCGATCTTCTACTGAAATACATTCAATGCTCGACCAGCGTTATATACTACTTGTGTGGATATAAGTAGCCCACACCACAATACAATTGTAATAAAAACAAAAGTGATACTAATGTAGTTGATGATAATATCAAACTTTAAAAGTTTTTAAATACACATCGATATGCTCGAAAAAGTAAATACACTTGATTCATATCTTTAACAACATCCCATTTTACATTTTCTTCGACATTTTTCATAATAATAAAATTCATATGGTTAATTGACTTGTTCTAATTGTCAACTTAAAATAATGATTATATTATTTAATCAATCAAGTTAATACTACAATAAAGGATTAAACAGTACATTCTTTATAATAATAATAATAATTTAGTGTCCTTCATAATATTCATTATTGACTTCAAGTCAATCTAATATTCGGATATTATATTCATCACAGACTGACCGTAGTTAAGGTATAGTTGAGAGCTAGTGAGTACTGGACAACTATCTTATCTTACTGTGAGATTCATCATCAGAGAGAACCCACGATTTTATCAGGGATGAAACTTAGAATCTTCGGATCTCGCTTAGTCACGAGGATTTTCATAAAAAAAGGAACAATTGTTTAATTGTCCCTGGTTTTCAGTGGTATCCCAGTTGACATTACTTTGTGACGGATATAGCCCACAAATAAAGTAATGGTTTGAGAATTTTTAAATAACGTATATAGTGGAATATTGTTGGAAATTTGAACACTTTATTCAATTTTCGAGCATTTAGACTTACACTGAAATATTTTAACGGCTCAATTTTATGGATAACCTTGTTATTATCTTACACTTCATCATCTTTATCAAAATGAATTATCTACAATAATTTAATTATTGAAGAGCACATAAAAACTATGGTTTATAATGTACACCTGCCAAGTTTCATCTCCATGACCTATTACTTCTGTCTGCTATTCAAAAAGACAATATGCCACGTTACTCATCTTTTCCATACTGCATAAGCACCAGTTGGAGTTGAACTGAAATTGAATTCTGAAATATAACTGACATTTTAGGGAAAAGTGTTAATGAACAAATTAACAATGTTTATGTAATTAAAAGTACATGTGAAGTAAAAAGTGTTTAGTAGAATGAAAATTATATATATATACCAGCTGAGAATCTCAGCAAGTGACGTGTGAAGTTTTAAAATGTCATAAAAATATTATTAGAATAAATTCTCTCTTTCGGTGATTATTATTGACCAGTAATGATGAACATCGCCTTTAAATTTTATAATAATTGAGTTCATGAGTCAATTAAAGCTAGACCACCATGAAAAATCCGGAAGCATTGAATGGTTGTTTCGTCCTAGTATGATACTCTTCAGTAGTTTCATTATTTCCTTATCTATTGAATAGTACAAGTTTATTATCACAACTAAATCATTATTAATAATATCGTTATAACTATGATTATTGTGAAATACATATGGCTCAGCGGTCTATCGGTTAAGGGCTTCGGCTCGAAACTGGTAGGTCCTGGGTTCGAATCTCGCGCGAGCGGGTTCGTGGATGTGCACTGCTGAGGAGTCCCATAATAGGACGAAACGGCCGTCCAGTGTTTCCAGGTTTTCCATGGTGGTCTAGCTTCAATTGACTCATGCTTTAAAACTATGAAAAATACATATGGACTTATTGAAAAGATACAATGTTTTGTATCATATTAAATTTTCCAAGATATTATTCAACAGAATTTATAATTAAACCACACTCTTTTCTCAAGGTTAATATAATTTGATTTCAGAAAAAAACAAATTTACAATAAAAGAAAATGTGTTAAAATAAGAAATTATCTAAAAAAATCACAATGATATTGTTTTCTTCTTTTTTTTTATTTGTAAAATAAATGAATAAGAAATAACTCACGTAGATCTATTCAATATTTGTCTCTATTGTATGTCTATGTGTTTGTATATTTATACTTATTTATACATACACTTTAGTTTGTCCTTTGACTTACAACTGTTGTTGTTGTTTTACTTAAGTAAAGATTTTATAAACACCATTTGGCGCGTGCCTTAAACAAGGTATTTTTGTTTTGTTTCATTATACATGTTAGTGTTTATACAATGGGTATATATACCTGTATATATCGGTGGGATGAATGGTTAAATTTTGACTAAACAACAAAATG